CTCTTCTTCCCCATGAACTCACTGAGCTGCCTCCTTCTCCCTGATTACCTGCCTCCCTGTGTCATTGTCCACACGTCCTACCCCTCTCCTGTTTTCCTAGCTCTGTTCACTCTGAATCAGAGAGTGGAAAACAACATTCCTTGGGGGGCCCTGGAGTGGGGGGGTTGCCTTCGTCATTTGGGTGGCGGAGAGATGAAGGCAGAGACCTCGGTGGGACCCCCCTGAGACTGGCCGGGTCTTGTCCCAAAGAGCTTGTTGTGCAGAGCTGGGAGGAGTGAGGCTGGGCTGGAGAGTTGGCCTTGGTCCAGAGGCTCTCTCAGTTTCTCTGGGCCAATCCCAGAGCCCCGGAGACTTTTGGTCTCTCGGTTTGAGAGGCAGGAACAAATGAACCAGCCTCTTCTGAAGTTTCCAAACTGCTCTCTTTCCCTCTCCCACCTCTATACCCTGTACAGGGAGGGGCGGATAGAGGAAGATTTTCAGAGTAGACATCCAAAGTCAACAGGCAGAGTGTCAGGTAACAGGGCCCAGCCCCTCTTGTAAGCCACTGGGGTCCTTCAGCAGAAGTGCTGTTTCCTTGTTCCTGATCGGAGCCTGGCCTTCAGCCCACAGTTTGCCCGTCAGACAGCCACTGGAAAAACATCCTCTGTGATCCCCTGCGGCCCATGCCCCTCTGAGCCTCAACATTCCCATCTGTGCAATGGTATACAATCCACCTTTTTCTGGGGATATGTACTATAATTAATTTTTAGTTGTCTGTGCTGTGCGAGTGGAGTCGTGTGTGCTGGCAAAATGAAGAGTTTAGGCCGTTGCATTCACTAACCATCTGCCCTTTCCCATGCCAGGCTCTACAGAAGCAAAACTCCCCAATGCTCTTTTCCTGAACTCTTGTCTCAAGGGCAACATCTGACCTTGCCGGGCAACATGGAAAACACCTTTGGTTATGATAGTCCTGGTGTATCCTCTCTTAACTAAGATCCTTGGGGGAGTCAGGAATTTGTAACATTAGGGAAAAAAGTGGCCTTTCTTTGACCTTCTTCTCTCAGAGCAGAACTGGTAGATCTAGACCAAGTCAGCAAATAAGCAAAGGTTGGGAACTCAGCCAGAGGGTGGAAAAGGCGGAACAGAAAAGACTCTGGATGCTAACCAGGGAATTTGTGTCTTCACCAAAATGGGACCGGGGGACAAATAGTGGCTGACTGGCACAGTGCCCCAGTGTTCATGATTTCTACATGCCTCCAGAAGTGTGGGATAGTGTCCTCCCCCGCCCCTCTGCTGTCCTTCTGGGTTTCTGCTGACCCTTTGGGGAGCAGGCAGGGGGATGACAATTTGTCCTCCTGCTTAGAGTGAAGGGAACAGGCTGGTCCCGGGGGTGCAGGGAGTGCCCGCGAGCCAAGTGGCATCCCTTAATGGGAAGGAAAGAGCTTGGTGGGCTGGACCCTGCCAGAGGGTCTGTTGCCTTTTGTGTAGAATCTCCATTTTCATCGAACATTTGTCAAACTCTTAGCCCTGGGGTATCTGTACTCTTGGAAAATAATCACACAATTCATGTCGACTCGGCTTAAGTGCATTACAGATCATTCCGTGGAAATACCTTCCTTTTTGTGTCTGACCAAAGCTGTGTTTAAGCTGATTCCGGAGTTCCCAGACCACACTGGCTACTGGAGGAGAGGAAGAAAGCCCCAAAACCTTAGTGGAGAATAGTGACAAGTTGCCTGGGTTGTCAAGCATTTGCCCTGGGTTACCCAAGATGGATGGACATCCCCACAGGGAGTGAAAGGTCTGGGCTCTATAATGCTGGGAAGGACCTCAGGGCAGTGACTGAAATTTCAGCTCTCCATTCCAGCTCCATGAACTTGTATGCTTTGCTTAGCCAGGCTGGGAATCCACCCGCTGGGTGACCAAAGAAAACAAATCACTGGAAATGATTATAAAACCTACAAACGGGCCTGACAGGAAAACAAAGAAAGCCCTCGAAGGTTAAACAGGAAAGGACCTGAATAGATTCCAGGGCATAAACCTAAGTGAGGAGGAAGGCAGCGAGGGATATGGATCAAGGATTTAACCATGAGAGTAGACTGCTTTGCATTCAATTTTCCACTTGCCCTTTCCTAGGGGTCTAACTTCTTCATTTCTCTGACCTCAGCTTTTGCATCTGGAAAGCGAGAATTCTCATGCCTGCCTTACAGAACTGTTGCATCAAATGCAAGGCGAAAACCAAGGGTGGTGCCTGCTCTGTAGAGATACCAAGGCAAGGAGCATCCATATTAAGAGCTCTGCCCTCTTGGGGAGAACCTGCTTGATTACGGGAAAGTCGGCGCTCCCTGCATCTTGAATTCTAAATCTCCACGGAGACTTCCCTGATTCTAGCCTAGCGATGGATGTTTTCCTGCCCCTCGTCCCAGTGATGTGACTACCATGCTAGCTGGGGATAGAAGACAAAAGCCAAGCCACTGACCATGCCACGTGGTGGAGTTGGCCCGCTTTGTCTGTTTGACTCCTGCCCCACTGCAGGCATTAGTTAGCCCATAGAGGAAAGCTATAAAGACTTGGGGCTGCCCCATTTCTTTCCAGGTGATCTTATCTCTGCCCAGCAATAAACTGTAGGCCCTGAGACTCTGATCTTGACTCTGCTCTGACACTTTGAACTATTGCTGGCCCCTCCTCCTGGCAGACCTCATCTTCCCCTAATGCACCAGGACGCACCAACCAGTTCTACTTCCGGAAGTCACCCCTCCCTCCAGCTACTTGGCGAACACCCTTGCCAGGCTGCTCCCCTCTTTCCCCAAGACGGCGTTGTCAGACTGGGCTTTCTCCCTGCTGAACCCCAAGCAGACACTGTTACAGGAGGTTGGAGGAAGGAGAGGTCCCTGAGAGGGTTATTCAGGGGGAGGCAGGTGGGACGCAGGGAAGCTTATGAAGAAGAGTGGAGTCTGATCCTTGACATCAGAGTGGGAACAGGACAGTCTGGTATGCTTGTATGGCTTAGCTCAGGGGTTGGCAAATCCTGGCTCTAGAGCCAGATCCAGCCTGACACCTGTTTCTGTAAATAAAATTGTGTTGGCTCACAGCCAGTGTCATTCCTTTAAGGATTGTCCTTGGTCACTTTGGGGCCACAACAGCAGAGCTGCCTAGTTGCAGCAGAGCCTATGTGTCCTACAAAGTCTAAAGTATTTACTCTCAGGCCCTTGACGGAAAAGGTTTGCAGACTCCGACTTTAGCGCACCCAGCTTTCCCAAACAGCGATCAGAGGAACTCAGTCCAGGGACATTGCCTCACCAAGATACCAGAGTCCAAAACACTGGAGAAACACTCCTAACGTCCCCACACCCCAGGGCTATTCACAAGGTACCTTAGTGTATCAAAGGCTCCAAAAATTCGTATGCATAAGAACCCATTTATTGTTTAACCAGCATTTCCCAAACTCATTTGATCTACCACCGCAACTTTTTTTCTTCCCTCAGAACACCTCTTAACGATCTTGAGAAGCTTGCCTTCTGTGGACGCCCCTGGTAAACACTGGGTAGGTGGAATGATCCTTTACCGCCTGAGTTCTCAGCCTGACCCTGTCTCTAATGGGCCAAGTGACCTTGGCTGGAGAGCCTCTGCCCCCGCGCCTGCTTCCTCATTGATTGAATGGGGTAATGTGGCTCTTCTGGCTTCCCCGTCCCTCTTACAGACCGTGCAGGAGGGTCACTGAGAACTGAGAGAGTGTTCACAAAAATGATCTGGGGCAAGAAACGGCAACGTCATTGATTGTATTAGTTTTGCTTTGATACATTGTTTAGCAATGGCGAAGAGGAGAAAGCACTAGATCAAGGTTAGGGGTCCCCTTTTCGGATCCTTACTCTATTACTCACTAGCTTTAACCAGATTACTTCTCCCCATAGGGCCTCAGTTACTTCACCCAGGACTCTAAGGCTCTGTTAGTTCTGAAAGCCTACGATTCCATTTGGCTAGACACATCCAACTTCCCTACGTCTCCAAAACAATGGGGTCTCTCTCACCAACTTTGAAGACTAAATCTCTGTGATTTTCTGTGGACAGCGCCTGTGCTCAGCACCAGCTGTGTGACAGTATTAATGGAGGGTTTCTGGTGCTGCTCACAGCAATGGAGGCAGGGCCGATCCTTCTGGAAATGTCGACCCGACAATTCTCAACTTGATACTGGAGTCCTTCCTTTCTTTCTCTCCCATTGCTCAAAGGCTGCTTTGCCCAGACACAAAGTTCAGACAGCTGGCTAACAGATTTGGCAGAATAAAAAAGCAGATGTGACCCCTGAAAAGGCAGTGGGACCAAGGGTGGAGTGAGAGTTCCCCGATAGACATGGAATGAAGTGTTTATGAAGCAGAATCCACATAAAATTCCTTCTGGCCACCTTCTCTGTGAACACCACCCTCCCCTTAAAATGACCATTTCCCAGCTTCATTAACAGTCCCTTGGATAGTAAAGATTTATAAACAGTGGAACAAGAGGAGTTTTATGAAGAAGGTGAGAATCTACTGAAAAATTCCCTCCTCATCCATGCGTTTAGGAAAATCCCAGAAAATCTTGCCTGGGTCAAAATGTCTGTGGCATAATGAGTATGGGCTCAAATGGGAAGGGGTGATTTGAAGAATGTGGGTTGTTCTTTTTGGTTTCTATGGAGTAGACACCTGCCACTGGAGTCAACCAGGGAAACTCCCAAATGAAGGGGACTCAGCATCTCAGAAGCCACTAAACCCATGCCCTCCAGTCGGCCTTTCAACCACAAATATTTACTGGGGGCCCCACAGAGCTGGAGGTCCTCTGGGGATTTAGTGAGGTGGATCTAACACGATTACTGCCCCACAGGAGCTCAGAGTGCACTTGAGAAGGCAAGCGTCATGTACGCGAATCTGATGAAATGTGCGCAGCAGGCTGAGCACTAAAGGACTTCAGAGAAGAAGGCGGCTAGCAAGGGCGAAGGATGGTGGCTAAGAAGTTATAGCAGTCGGAGGACTCATATATTTTCAAAACCCCAGGAAAGGAAATTCCACACTTTCCCAGGTGACCTCCACCAGGGTTCAATCAAACCTTTCTTGAAGCCTTCTCTGAGTCATGCATCACCTTTGGCTGGGGGAAATGCTTGACCTTCCTGGGCCCAAGGGTGGCCCAAGGGAAGCCTCTGCTTCCCCAGAAGGAGTGCCCACTCCATTCGCTCTGCTTCGTACAGGCGGAGGAAAGACGAGGAAAGGCTGAAGCTATGGTCCTTCATCCTGGTTCTCTTTGCATGGTGATGGAGCAGCTTATGCTTCCATTCCTCGGGGTCCGGGATGTGTCTCTGGGACAGTCAGACTGACCTGGGGAGGACAGTCATCCCGGAGCATGTTCCTTTCCATGTGGGGCAGCGGGTCTGGCTGCAGGCTCGGTTCCAGGAGATATGTCATCTGAATCAAGGTGACCGCTGCTGCCCTCTCTGTCTCCTGAGCTGCACAGACACAGAGTGGGTTGTGAGGGGACTGGGGACTGAATTTGATTCCCTGAGAACCCCAACCCCCCGCCCCTTCTGGGAACTTCCTGACACAGAAGAACGCAGTGGAGCCCTTTGACTGAAGAGGATGGGGCCGGGCCTTTGGGGTCCTGGCTGGGATCATCTTAGTCTCTTCCACCTGCTCCCACAAATCTCACCCTCTCTTCATCAGAGCTAACCACTGTGGAACACTCATTTGGGGAGCATTTAAATGTGGGCTGGAAGAGACTTCAGGCAGGCCGCAGAGAGGGCACAAGCGTAGTTTGCTCCCACATCTGGGACCTCCATGGGGGACTGGTCCTGCCGTTCACATTCCTGTGGGGAACGTCTGTCTTGCCTTCCTCTGAGAAGCCTCTCCTCCAGCTCTGGGACGTCACTGAGGCGTAAGTACAGAGACGGTTCCCCCATTTCATTGGTAAACCAAGGCCAGGAGTGGTGAAATGGCTCAAGCTAGAACTTAGCATTTCCCTCTCCAGAGGTCTTGGCCCCAACTCCGACCCAGTCCTGAGAGTGCCCGAGCAGAACAAACACTCCCTCCCCAGCCTCGGGGCTACTCCAACTACACTCACTCATCTCCTTTGTCCAGAGCTTCTTTTGCAATAGGCCAAAAGCCACAAGGGTCAGGGGGCACAGCACCGTGGAAACGGGAATCAGGATCCGAGAGATGTTTTTCTCTCCTGGAGAAGCACTGGAGTGGAAGTAGCCGGTGGGGGGAGGGAAAGAGCACAGGGGAAGACGGTTGGAGCTGGACAGGAGACTGAAGGGCATATGGTCCTCGCCCCTCGCTTTACAGGTGAGAGGCTAAGGTGGGGGAAGTTGGCTGCCTTCATTCCCACAGCGGGTTAGTAGCAGGGCTGGGACCAGAACCCCTGTCTTCAGGTTCCCAAGCCCTGAATCCTGGTCCCCACTGCATTGCCCAGGTGTGAGCCCCCCTGGGGGCCAGTGGGAAAGAGGACCGAGTGAGTCATGTCACCCACCCTGGGCATTTGGCTCTGCCACAATCTTTCCTTGTGGCTTCAGCAAGTACCTCCCCTCTCTAGAGCTTTTGTTCCTCATCTTTTAAAAAAAAAGTCCCAAAGATTCCACCTAAATATTCTGTTTTCCTAATGTTTAGATTTTTACTTGAAAACCACGTGAAAATACTCTGGGTTTCTTAGCAAGGACTCTTGAACAAGGGAGGGTCTGTGGTTTTTATGGTCCTTGCCCTTCGTTGTCCCAGGGTTACAAAGAGAGAAGTGAGCACATGGCGTGGGGTACAGAGGTCAGCCCATGGGGGAGCATGCCGGGAGTGGGGCAGATACAGAGCCCCGGCCAAGACGAGGGTCTAGGAGTTTACCTCATCATGGAGGACCTCTTGCCCATGGGCATCATGGACCCAGCAGCTGGGGCCTGGCTTGGTGTGGCTTGGGGATCGCTGTCTCCAACAGGCATGTCTAGGTCCCCTTTGATGGCTTCCTGCTCAGACGCCATCTCTATGCTGGTGGGTCCCGGGGTCCACACACTCACAGCTGGGTTCCTTCCTTCATTGGAGCCCAGGGCTTGTGGCTGAGCCACAGTTGTCGCTGTTTCTGACAGGATTTCCTGCACCCATTTTCCTGAGACCAGAGTCGATGGCCTACCGGTCCCTGGGACCTTCCCAGTGACATCCAGAGCTGTTCTGACCCAGTCTGTTTCTTCTGGTGGTCCACCGGCCTCAGTAGCTCTCTCCCTCCCTGCCTCGCTGGGCCTAGCTGTATTTGCTATTGAGCCTCTGGTGTCCCACACCCAAATACCTTCTGTCGTACCGGATATGCCTCGGATTGTTGAAGCCGGACTCTCTGGAATGGGGACTGTTGCCCAGACAGAGCCCTCTCCCTGGCTGGCTGTCCCTACAGCTACTGCCTCAGTTGTCCCTGGGGTCTGCCTTCCCTCAGCTGATGCTCTTGTTTTGTTGGTTCCTGGAGGCAGAGCAACTCTGTCCCATCCTGTCCCCTGTCCTTCTACAGTCTGGGTGGCTCCTGAGGTCTGTCTGTTGGGCGCTGGTGATGCCGTTTCAGAGGATCTCATGACGCGCTCACTGGTAGCCGGAGTGGCTGAGGGGCTGGTGCTGGAAGGATCTGTGAACGGCAGAGGGAGACCACATGGGAAGGCTACCCTGGTTGCCTGCAGGATTTAGCAAAGGATGCCAGGCTAGTACGCCTGCTCCAGGGACTGCGTCCTCACCAAGCCACACAGTCTTTGGTTAATATGTTGAAAAAAATAAAAATTAGGGAAAACCAGGCGTGTCCTCTAGCCTGTTGCGCATATTGACATTCTGTGGTCCTTTCTCCTTGTTTTATGCCCACATACTCTCTACTGAGCCATCCCGCACTCCCACGCTGGCCCCTTTTCCACAGCCCGCCCCGTACTGCTTCTCAGACACAGCAGGCCATCTCAGCAGATGTGTGAGAACATCTCACCGGACACATGCAAACCCAGGCTCTGCCTGCTCCCTGCCATGCCACCTGTCCCTGCCGGCCACTGCCTGAGCCCCCTTCTGTGGATTCTGGGTGCCCAACTCCAGGTCACGTCTCTGGAACCTGCCAGGTAGAGCATGGTCTTGGTAGCTTGTGGGATGTCTGCCAAGGGGCTCGGTCTCAGGAAAAACCACTTCTCTCCTGAGCTTCTCATGTGGTCTGCTTGTCTGAACAAAGAGACTTCGTGAGCCTAAGAAGCTGCATTTTTCAATTTGCCCCCCTCTTGGAGTCCTCTCCAAGTGTCTAGGCCACAGAATTTGGGGGAATGTGGGCAGGACAGCTGGCATGCATTCATTTAGGTAGTTTTCCAAATACCTGCCTTCCTTCTGAAGGTAATTGCTTTCTGAAATGAAAGCCGACTTCCTAAAGTCTCTGCTTCACCCCCAGCTTTTCCTCATCACCGCCCCTCCTCAAGCTTAAAGCCCTCTTGGACCTGTCGATCTGCTCCCGCACCTCCCCCCCGCCCCCTGCATTTACTTCGCCAAACTTGACCCACCAGCCCGTACCTGTGGAGACGTTCAGATTCATGCTGAAGAAGAACACGTTGTTTCTGTTGCCAATGCCACAGCGATAGCGCCCCACGTCTTCCGGGGACAGCTGGGACAGCGTCACCACAAACAAGCCACCCTGCGGGTAGTCTGCTAGGGCCACGCGGCCGCGGTAGCCGAGGTGAGTGTAGTTGGTGGTGGACACGACGGTGTGGCAGACCCGTGTCACCGGGCTTATGCGGCACCAGTACTTCCTCACATGCTTGTTGATGGACAAGGGGCTGTAGTGGCAACGGATGGTGACAGCTCCCCCAGGCCCCCCAGACACCAGCCTTGGGCCTTTCAGTGCATTTGCAGCTGTGGGCAGAGAGCGGGGGAGAAAAGTCAAAGGAAATGGAGCGCTGGCTATAGCCACTGTTTGCGGGTTACAAGCTCCAGACTCTGCCGGAATTAAGGAACATGTCAGAAAATACCGTCGTGAAAGTGAAGGGAAGAGGAATGCATGTGGACACATGGGAGCTCAGGAGTGCCCCCAGATGTGGGTGGAGCTTCACCTAAGGCCCCATCTGAGAGATAGAAACGCGAGAATGCTCCCACCAGCTATCTAGCTGGTGCCCGTTGCGTGCCCGGCATTCTCAGACTAGTCCTTCCAGAGCCCGGTCAGCATCTGTCGGAAGGGGCTACGGTTTGTTTGATGGAACACAAGAGAGGAGGTAAGTAGGGGAGGGTGGGTTAGTGTGCATTCCCCTGAGAGGGAAGGGTGCCCTGAACACAAGAATCGCAGTCCATGTAGTGGACCAGGCAGTTGAAAAATATTCACACCTGACACTTTTCTGCAGAAGTACAAACAGCCGCGTACCACCGTCAGAGCACAGACGAGCAGCGCCGTGAACAGGTCTGCTTTGGCAAGGGGCGAACGTCAGGCCTGAACACGTCCTCAGCCTGTTTACTGAGTGACGTGAACTTGACCCAACGCGGGCAGAAACAGAGCTTGTTCTCGCGCTGTCTCTTCATACCGGCTCTGCCCCTCGATAAATCTCAGGCACGATTTCAGGTGCAGGAACTTTCACAGTCTCACTTAGACTGGAAAAAAGTCCAGTCTGGTCAAAACCTATATATGCAGCCCAGTCCCAGGACTGACTGCAACTCCAGTCTCTTTGCTCTGCTCCTTCCTCTGTTCAAAACTGCAGGTCAGGCCCTGCGGGGATTGCCTGTGGCGGGCAGAGGGGAAGGTGACGGGGAGAGCTGCGGTCTGTGCGCACGCTCTCCGGGCACAAGGGATATCCAGAGCTCTTCCGAGAACTTTGGCCTCCCAGACTGTTCCAGGCCCTCTGGCTGCAGTTCCTTCCTTGTAAGAACTGCCTCTCCTGGGGCCTCTTGTGCCTCCTCCAAAACCACACCTATGACTTTGGGCCACCTGCCCTTCTTTCTGTAGTCACAGCCCTTTCTGGGTGGCCTTTGTGGTGGGCTCCCCCAGGGCCAGCTCCTTTCTGTAGGTCCCATATTTGATCACAGGAAGCACGATTTGGTCCTACTGTCGGAGAAGCTGGGACGTGGGACAGCTTGGCAAATGGCATTCTATAAGTTCCTTCTCTTATTCGAGAGAACGTGAGGGAACGTGATGGGGAAGTGATCCCTCCTGCCCCCCAGGGCAGGTGGAGACGAGCCCAACACACTGACACCTCTCTCCACAGCACTTCTTTGGTGAGCTCGGATACCCTCCCCTGATTCCTCAGACGGCTACATGGGGGGCTGTCGCTGGCACAGCCCGCAAGGCAGTCTGTCCACGGTCCTGCACAGGCGCTTAAACATCTGGCTTTCAGATGTGGCTGCCTGGCCTTGATCGATTTGTTCTATGTCTCTAGGGCCCTCTGAAGCTGAGAAGGTTCAGTTTTTGTTGATTGTTTGTTTCTAAAGATTTTATTTATTTATTTGACAGAGAGAGAGAGAGCATGAGCACACACAAGCAGGAGAGGGGCAGACGGAGAGGGAGAAACAGACTTCCCACTGAACAGGGAACCCGAGGCAGGGCTCGATCTCAGGACCCCAGAGATCATGACCTGAGCCGAAGGCAGACATTCAACAGTCTGAGCCACCCAGGTGCCCCAAGAAGGTTCAGTTTAGTATCCAGGTTTAATATCCCGTTGCTAGAACTGGCTATAGGATTGCAAAGCCCGGTGCAAAATGGAAGTACAGAACTCCCTGCTCAGAGGCTAGTAAGCCCTGTTCTCTATGATGCTAGCGGGGCATTAAACTGAGCCCCTTCTGAGGATGGGGCCCTGTGACTGCCCAGGGCACATGCTCATGAAGCCGGCCTGCCTGCTGCATATGTCTTGAGGTCTAATTATAGGAAATGCTATGACTATAGCACTACTCACTGTAGGTTTAATTAAATGACATGCCACCAGCTATGTTGCTATTAATAAAGCTAAATGGCAATCTTTCTTTAAAAGTCAAGAATATTTACAATTTTAAACAAGGACCGTCTCGGGACAACAGTGATGGTGCCCTGATAAGGTGTTCATACCCTAGTTCTCAGGAATTCTTGCAGTCTACACGTGGCACATACGAGAGGCTCTCTGCCCTGTTCATCAGCAGGATGGGGCAGTCTGACCTCGCAGAAGGTTGATAAGAATCCTGAATGCGCTCTTGCAATGAACATTTTTTCTTACATAAATACCAAATTTTGCTTGCCCTTGAGAACTCATTTGGTGAATACCTGATCAGTAGCTCTTAGTTACATATATTTAAGGTGTATACAGATTATATTATATATAATTGAGAATCTATTGGGTATGGGCTAGCATTTTAGGATGAAGGGGGTGCCTTCTTCGGTTCCCTGATGCATATTCTCAGCCCTGCAGTGGAGGCGAGGACCCCATCATTTCCCTGCAGTTGTCTGTGGCTCTGGCTTCCCTCGGGGAGGAGCGAGGAGGGCCTGCAGAAGGAGGGAGCTCATGGACGGGAGACCGACTCGGTCTGAGCGAGCACAAGAGGTCTGGAGCTGGACAGTGGGGGAGCGGTTGCACCTGCACTGGCTGCCTCCTCCATCTGGCAGAGGGGTGAGAAAGGAATGAGTGTTTTCCTGGCCCAGAGGCGGGGCCTGGAGGGGAGAAGGCCACTCCACTGGCATCTGAGATGGGTCTTCTGTGTGGAGGGGTCAAAGCAGAACCTGGGCAAAGGGAGGAGATGGACCATCAGGGGACCATCTTAGTTCACAAATACAACCACAAGAGGAAGAGCCAGCTCTTAACTCCTCGCCACCCCATCTAATAAGTGTTCCCTGCCTTCTACCTCACCTCCCTTCGGCTCCTATGACCCTGCTGGGGTCCCACATGACATGGAGAGGAGAGGAAAGGGAGGAACAGAGGAGAGGGCCACCGTTCCCCTGTACTGCTGTCCTGACCACAGGCCTTGGGTGGATGAGGGGACATATCTTTGAAGGAAGACTGAAGTATTTAACTGCACCCTTAAAAGTATACATTCAGTATTTAAAACTTATGGGAATTGAGTTAGGACTCTTACCTACACTAATATATTAGCAGAAAAGTCATGAGCCTGCCTGAGTTTTTGCTTGGGGGCAGGGGATGCCTGCTTCTACTGAAAATTTTTAAAATTTTCAATTAAAGAGGTAGAGTGATTATATGAAAGAGAGTTCTTGCTCAAAATGAACTTTTGGTTCATTAAAATTCTGATTTGTTTATATACCAAACACAATTATTCATCCTTTTCTTTTTCTTTTTCTTTTCTTTCTTTTTTTTTTTTTTTTTGGTGTTACCAGAGCATTTTCATTCGTTCAGTCAATGATTATTTGCTCAGTCTCTACTCAGGACCAGGTTCTAGGACCAGGCACTCTGGGAACATATTTATCACATTTCTCAATGATTTCCCATCACCATCAAAATAAAATCTAGACACCGCAGCCCGGAGATGTGCCGTGCGTCATCTGAGCCTGATCTATACCTGGCCAGCCTCACCATACCAGCCTGCCAGGACCTATGGGGCAAGGACTCTGTCCTCCATCCACCCATCCCTTGTGACTGGCACGTGGTCAGCCCTCCATAAACGTGTGTCCACTAAATCAGTAGATGCAGAAATGCAAATTTTATTTACCCAGCCGGTTTCTTTGTAGACTCTGAACACTTTTGAGGAGGGTAGGTCTGCCCTCGTCCCAAGTCCTGGGCCTGGCACTGAGTGTTTTTGGAATGAGGGAGAATCAGCAGTGCCCCTTCTGTGCCCTGGAACCCTCATCTTGCAAATGCAGATGACTTTCAGTCAACTGGAAGGGAAGAGAGCAGAGACACTGGGACTATCAGAACAGGGAATATTCTAGAAGTGAGCATGGCAGTCATTGGCCCTCTCCTGTGGGCTCTTGCTTCTCTCATTCCCCCTGGATGCAGACCTGACCCTTCCCTGGACGCACTGCACGGCCCGGGATCCCTAGAGAGAAAGCCAGGGGTAGAAAGTCCAAAGTGTCGAGGCAGCCCTGAACACCGCTGAGCAGCCCACCAGCAAACCCCGCAGACTGGGAGCCTCTGGGCCGGCATTGCAAGCTCCACATCTGGGCAGTGTTTGGGACTCACCTTGCAAGAGCAACAACGTGAGGAGGGTGGGCATTTTCCATCCTGCCCTCTGGATGGTGACCTGAAAAAAAACACTATATTTGAGGAAACCCGAGGGGGCAGCTGAGAAGCTGAGGGGAGCCCAGGGAGACCTGGGGTGAGGTGAGCCCTTTCTCACTCGAGGACCTCAGTGTGCTCAGTGTTGTGGCTGATGGGACGTATCTTACCCAGAGCAGGACTGCAACTGCTCTCCTTGAGAGAAACATGACTCCATCTCCCACCCCCAAGCCCACATGTTTGGCCCGGGTCACGACCACCAAGGCGAAAAGGTCTCTACCCTTGGAGTTTCTGTGTTCAGAAGAGTTGGAACTCCCTCTGTAGGATCCCAGCACCCCCCCCCCACAACTTGCCAGCCTCGGAGCTCTGAATTTGGGGGAGCCTTGGGTCATGGAAAGACCATGTGCTTGCAGTTGAAACGTAGGCGGGAGCTCTGGGGCCTCGGGGGTCAGTTTCCTCCCCGGGGAAATGAGCACATGCGTCAGGGGCTTGTTGCACAACTGAAACTGGATTGTGTTAGAAGTGCTGGCAGTGTGCTGGGTACAGAGCTGCTCCCTCCCCCTTCCCTCCTCACCCCTTCTTTTTGGCAGAAAGAGAATTGATTCCTTCAAGGGGAAGCTGGTAGGGTTTCTCTGGGAAGTAACAAGGACTTAGACACAGACTCTCTGGACAAGCAGTTGTCGGTACAAGAGTTCTATTCTCTTTATTCTCCATAGCTTCTAGAAGGCTCTCCCTGTCCTCCAGTGCATGCTGATCTCCCCCTACTCTAGTCTCTCCTGTGGGCCTGGTGGGACTTTTTGTGTCATCACTCTAACCCCAGGCTCTGGGACAGGATGCAGCACGGTGCTGGAGCGAGGACCAACCACTCTCGGAAGAGACACCATACTGATCCCCACTCACTAGCCTTTTACTGCTTGCTGATGATAAAGACTGAGACTGTACATTATACTTCATTTGTAGTCCCCCTTAGCGTTTTCATGGATGCTTTTGGGTTGATTAAAAATCTGTGCTTTACATCTGTCTACTGCCTACAGTTCTTAGGACCTACACGAAAAGAAAGAGAAAAAAAAGAAAGAAAGAAAGAGGGAGAGAAAGGGCAAACTAGTTAGCTATCATAGTCTCCTCCCTCTAATCCCGACCTCACTAATGCTGAGCACAGGTGTAGACCATCAATGGTCTGACCCAGGGGCTGGAGATCCCCACCCCATGGACCCTTGCCCAACTAGACTAAACCACGCCAGGCCACCGGCCAGGCTGGGACATAAGCTTAAGGAGGAGAAAAGGGAATGGGGGAGGCAAGAAGGAGAAGGGGGAGAGGAAAGGAAGGGCAAAGGAAGAGAGAGTAGAGGACCGGAGAATGATTGAATCCATGGTTTGGCCCCATAGCTGTGAACTGTCCCCTCAACTTGGCTCCACCAGCCATCGCCCTAAAGGCTCCTCAGTGGAGCCACGAGGGTGGAGAAAGTTGGAAGAGTCCTTGGGCTCCTCATGCCTCCTTCGTGCCCTCTTAGCGATGCCCCTGCCTTAGGTGCCACCATGGCCGCCCAGCCGCCCGCCTCCCCCCGCCGTCCAGGGTTCTGGCTGCCTGCCTTCACCCAGAGGCTCTCCCAGGTGTGCCTGCGCCTAATCTGCTGTTTGTTTAATGTCCACCAAGCCTGGCTTCCTCGGAGCTTGTTTTTCTAGGGCACTAGGTGCTGACACGGCCCACGCTGAGGTCAAAGTCTTAGCACCACACCACCCAGTTCCTTGGAAGTCCACCGGGGCAGCAATCTCTAGGCTCGGGAGCAAAAGCCGCCTCACCCCCGAGAGGCAATGAGGAAGCGCAGGGTGTGCGATAAAAGGTCTCCTGGGAGTTATCAGCCTTGATTGGAGGCTGAAAGGACAATATCCGAGGAAATGTCTCTGAGCCGGCTACCCAGCCAGTGACCTTCAGAAAACCTTCCTCCAGGATACAGAGAGCCCTAGCTCAGCAGCCTGGGGCTACAGGCCTCTGTAATAATCCACAGCATTTTAGGGGATGAGGCCACTTGCGGGGGCTGCTCTTGTCCCCCCATCCTGCTGGGAAGGGCATCTATTCATCTCCAGCACAGGCTGGTATATGACTCCCCAAATCCCTACCGCCCTCCTGAGGCCCACTTCCCTCCTATTCCTACCCAGGGGCAGCAGACACAAAAGCAAGGGGGCCTTGGTGATGTAGAGGGAAGTGCTCAGAACCAGGACTCAGGGGACTTCGCTTCGCCAGTGGCTGGTGGAATGACCTAGAGCAATGGCAGCCTTGTCTCCATTACAGCAGAAGAGCTTTGGCTGTGTGATCTCCATGTCTCTTTCCCTTTCTGACATTTGTTGGTTTCACATGACTCAGGGCCTCAAAGGAATCATGCACTCTGGTGGGAGGGAGAGTCAAGGGGAGCAGGAGAGCGGGGAGGCAGTAGGGAAATGCTGTGGCCTGAACCCCATGGTTCTTCCCTGGCCTCCTGGGCATTAGCCCAGCCTGCTCTGGGAAGGGCCCCTGAGTGCACACTGGAGAGCTGCTGCTGCAAGTCACCACCCCCTGTCCCCCATCCCGAGGGAGACAAGACCCCAGCTTCTGGGGGAGAAAGCCGAGTCTCACCTGTCTTTCTTCTGGCTTAGCCGAGGCTTCTCTAGCCATCTCAGTCCAGAGATAACATCCACCCGGACTTTTCTTTTTATTCTCTCTCGTTCTGCGATGCTGGGGTTTGAACACCTTCTACCTTCTTTTCTTTAACCTTGAGACTGAGAAGGCAACCCTGGAGGGCTGAAAAGCCACTGGAGCCCCAAGAAGCTCCAAGTGCAAGATGGAGCTCTGCCCCTCGCCTCTCCAGCCCTGCAGCAAGTCAGTGCACCCCCGGCCCTGGCTGCTAGTCCTAGGAAGGAACCAGTCCCGGTTCCTTGTGGTCCTCACTGACACTCCTGCAGAACTTTTCCAGGGGTGGTGACAGTGACGTCAAGGATCCACATTCTTCCATCTTTTGTTTCCCCTCCTGTCCTGGGCCTCAGATTTCTCAGGATGCCCCAGTTTAGTTGACCCCTTCAGGATAAGTGGTGCAACAATCTGGGGAGGGGAGAAAATTCAGGGGAGGAATTCCCCTGTAGTCTGGCTGGGCAGCCTGTGCCTTCTCCCAGCTCCCAGGAGAGCCGGTGTGGGCCACGGACTGCACGTCTGGTAGTCCCTAATTCATGCTCTGCACGAAGCACAATGTAGGAAATGAGATAATTTCCATGGAAAGAGATCCCGGACCAGCGTGGCTCATCCTGGAGGACAACAACATGCTTAGAAATACGCCAACATTTTGCTTTGGAAAATATGCCATGGGTGGGTTCTCTTCCTCATAAAAGATGTAACTCCTACCCCTGCTGGTTTTAAATGGACATCAGAATGACAACTAAGGAGCTCCAAGGGATGGAGGTATTGCGGACTCGATGGAAGGACTCTCACCAGGGCCCCTGTTGGACACTGCAGCACTCTTGGACCCGTTAGAAAGGGCACTTCTTCTTCAGAAAAATCAAAGCTGTTGATATATTGTTGCACAATAACCATGGATAGCAACGTGTATTGTCCGTGCATTCCCCCTTCCAGGTTTGAAGACAGATTATGGGTAGGAACTGTGTCAATGAAAGCAATAAGAGAGGAAAAGAAACAATACCATGGGCTGTCTGGAGTGTGGCTGGGAAAAGGTCATCTCAAGTGTGTGTGCCAGTTTCTGAGTGCACAGTGGTATGTGACACTATCCCAGGACTTGGTTAGAAGGTCCAGATCTTCACAAACGCCAACAGCCTCTCATATAAGTTACAAGACATCTACGATGAAAATGGCATCCCCTTAGCTGTGGCATGCTTAAGCAGTGCACAACCTGAAGAACTGTATATGATGGGCCTGCTTATCCCCAGAATTGAATGGTGGTAGAAACAGTTAAGGTCTGGCTAAATTCTCCATTCCTAGCTCCTTTGGGAGCAGTACAGCATAGTGCTTTGATCACATAGACTTTGGAGTTAAGACTCCTTCCAAGTTAATATCCCAGCCCTACTTTTTACTGGAAAAATGATATGAGTCAGATTACTTAACAGCTTTACTCCTTGTTTCCTTCATCTGAAAACAGGAGATAATAGCACCTACCTCATAAAGTTATTTTGTGGATTAAGTGTGACAATCCATGTAACTTAAAGTTCCCTGCATGTATCAAATTCTCAGTAAGTTTCAGCCCCTAATATTAATAGCTTAGCTCACAGCAATAGAGAACAGGTATCTTTTAATGATCAAAGCCTCAGAAAAGGTCCTTTTTGAAGGTCATCTATTCAGTGGTTTGCTACTTTCTTTCTTTCTTTTTTTTGGGGGGGGGCATTTGATCATTTTGGTATTTGAAAGATTAGAAATAAATCAATTTGTCTGAAAACATGTCTGGATTGGTTTTGTATTTTAAAATAAATATTTGCCAAATTGCATTGTTTTATAAACCATGCAGTCATTTTAAAATTTTATTTTATTTATTTATTTGACAGAGAGAGATCACAAGTAGGCAGAGAGGCAGGCAGAGAGAGGAAGGGAAGCAGGCTCCCTGCCGAACAGAGAGCCCGATGCAGGGCTCGATCCCAGGACCCTGAGATCATGACCCGAGCCGAAGGCAGAGGCCCAACCCACTGAGCCACCCAGGCACCCCGTCATTTTTCATCCTTAAGGATATTTTTTCTAGTTTATCTCCTTTTGAACATTTTGGAGACTTTTTGAATACTAAAGACATAAACCATAGTAAGGTCCAATTAATTGTAAAGCACTGGGCCAGTTTTCAGAGGACTGACCCGGAGCCACAGTGGCTCCCTCTCTGAAGCTTTATGGGAGAGAAAACTCTGTACTAGCTACTCCTCTTGAGTATAACTGAATTCTTTTGCCTAGCACAAAGCCATGGGAAGCCTCCTTACCTAGGTTTATGACACGCTGACCTTCTGATTCCAGGTCTCAGACTCCAGAAAAAAAATAATAATACTGAGACGAAATATGAGATCTGGGAAGAGTTTTGCCCACTCCCTGCTCCCCACCTCCAATCCCCTAATCCCAATTTTAGCAAAGGCTTTTATTGCCTAAACGGACACCCCGAAGTAAAAATCAGAAACCAGCTAACCAAGGCAAGGAAAGCCACTTGTGCTATAACACATCATTTAGCTGATAGTAAAGATTGCAATCCAGTGACATTCACAGCCCTCCAAATCCAGAAGACCTCTCAAAGGCAGTCGGGTAAGTGCTGTGATGGTTTAAGTTCATGGAGAGACCGCTGGTAAAAGCACAGGCGAAAGAATCCCAGGAGATCATTTCCTAGTTCATAGGAGTACCGCCTGAGACCTTGGTACAGATGGCTTCAGGCAATCATGACCAACAGCTTTTAGCACAATCTTTCTGGAGTGATGAAGTTTGGAGACTGAAACACACATATTTCTGACCGGTTGGAGTTATTTCATGATGATGCTCTTTGGAATAGACATTGTTCTGCAATAATGAGTCCTGAGTCCTTGCTGGATGGAAGGGACCCCCAGTAATTAACTTGCCACTGAGGAATGGTGTTAGATGGGGGGGCCAGGTGCTCTGCTCTATTGCTGGCAGGTTGGATGGTCATGAGCAACAAGGCTGAACTCAGCGGGGTTCATAGGAGCCTGTGCTGTCTGTGGGAGCCCGGGGACAGCCCCGTCCCTCACGTGTCCCTTGTGCCAGCACTTCGGTGGCCAGTGCCTGCAGTTGACTGCGTCTTCCATGGTGGGCATCAGCCTGTGACTTAAAGAGCTTTGCACTTCACGCCACTCCCACGTCCACCCATGTGTCCCCACCCATTCTTTCCATCTCTCTCCATCCGGCCTCTGTATCTGTCCTAACATCAAGCCATTTTTCCTTCCACACAAAGCAGAACATCAACCCAAAGTCTGCCTATTGGAAGGACTTACTCTTGCCACTGTTATTCGACACCAGCCCTGTTCACTTTCACTGTGAACGCACATACCGGACCAACTGATCCACAAGTGAAGCTTGGGTTGTGTCTTCCGCTGCCACGTGGCTTATTAGGGAGGCTCCTATGTGGCTCTTCATGAACGGAGGAGGGGGGGACACTCTGCAATGGTGTAGCTGAAGTGAGGGGCCGGGCTACTCGCTCACACAGTTTACTTGTGCCCTCATGTCCTTTGTGAGCTCAGACCCAGCTGTACCCCTTCCAATTCACCATCAACCGCTGCTGGCTGGTCAGACCTTATGACTCCGTGCAGGTAATAATAGCTTTCAGCCCATAATGGGCAGTTGAAAGACGCACACTCCCCTGGGGTTCTGTGTTCAGGGATTAGGTCTCCGCCGGGACCCAAGATCACACCAGGAGTCGTTTTTCAAAAGACACATTAATTTCCCTTGCACACAGCATGGCTTTGCCAAAGGACCCCAGGGCACTATGTGACTACGTAGTGATTCTACCCGTGGGACTTGCCATAAGCTCCATACAGTATCTCTCCCCAACACCTACACCTCTGATAATGAAAATGCAGGGCTGAGGACACGTCAGCCTGTACCTGCCGCAGAGCCTTTCCCTGCTCTGGGCCCTATTCAAGCAAACTGAGTGTTTTGGAAGGGAGGGAGGTGGTGGGTTGGGTGAGCCTGGTGGTGGGTATTAAGGAGGGCACGTATTGCATGGAGCACTGGGTGCGGTGCATAAACAATGAATCTTGGAACACTGAAAAAAATAAAATTAAATTAGAATGTTAAAAAGTAAATAAAATAAAATACACGAATTAATAAAAACAAAAACAAAAACAAAGGAAGGAGCTGTAAACACTAATTTAAAGTGGAGCCAGGAAGCCCTGAAGGGGGCGCTCTCCTGCATGAGCTGCATTGCTGCGGGCTTTACCTGGGGGTGGGGTGCTAAGAAATATCTGGACAAGGGAGGGCATGTTTCACATAGAAATTTCTCTCCTACTTTTAAGAAAAAGAAGGAAGATCCCTCCCCACCCCAGCAATAATGCACCAGCCACCCCATATGGCAATGAGAACCTGCCAGGAGGTCCAACACTTCTCCAGTGAACTTTTGTTGAAAACAACCCTCCCCAGTTTCCTCCTAAAACCTAATAAAAGGTGACCTTCCCTTTGTCCATTTGAACTTGCTTATGGTTCAACAGAGTTTGCTTGAATTGCAATTTCTCTCTTATTTCCAAATAAACTTATTTTGCTGGTAAAATAACCTGCCATTTTATTTTCAAGGTTGACCAAGCAGTTCATGCCACTGAGTGTATGGGCAGTGTCTGTGAGTGTGGCAGAACCCAAGATGCCCACCAGGTACGTGCTTCATTCCTTGTGGTGGGAGGTGCAAGACGGCATCTTGTCTTTTACTTGGGATGAGGTTTCCTGGCAGGACCCTGATCATTCGACCCCTAAAAATATTACTGATGTGATAGTCCCCTGATCTTCCTAGGTTTTACCTCCCATCTCCTGAGACATCCACACCTAAGGCCTCCAACATGTGAGTGTCTTCTTGTTCACATGGCCTGATTAGCATAAGATCATCAGTAATTAATGGATCAAAATGACATCCTACAGAATGCCCAGATGGTCCAGATCCCTCTGGACTATATTATGTCAGAGGACAAGGGGGTTAACATAGCCTTGGAAAA